TGAGAAACTACTGTGCTATATCCTCTGCTTTATACAGTTTAGTCAGGTAAAGTACAAGTCACCCAAGCAGCAGCAGCTTCTCCCAGGCAACCAACAGTAGGACAAGAGGGCACAGACTCAAGCGCTGCCAGAGGAGGTTTAGGTTAGATATTAGGAAGAGATTTTTTACAGAGAGAGTAATCAGGCATTGGAATGTGCTGCCCAGGGAGGTGGTGGATTCCCCATCCCTGGAGGTTTTCAAGACGAGACTGGATGTGGAACTCAGTGCCATGTTCTAGTAATGACGATAAGGTTGGACTCGATGATCTTTGAGGTCTTTTCCAACCTGGTTAATTCTATGATTATATGATTCTGTAGTAGCTAAAGGTGTTTATAATTGATGTTGGAGAATGATAGCTAGAAAGAGTTTATGTGCAAGTTTCCGTATAATTTAAAGCCTTGTGCTGCATAAAGAAAGGCAGGGGAGAGCTTGGGATCTGACTGTGAGGTTTTTTCCATGCTTCCTCTGTTATGGGCCAAAATCACTCCTTCTAAGCTGCTGGCCTGGGAAAGTAAGAGCAAGTGAGCATTTATTTTACTTCTTGTTTCCCTTCTTTTGGCCTACACACACTGCTGCAATGAGAACACAAGGACTGAATGATTTAGGCCTGATGTGTGATACTACACAATAAAATGGTTTAGCACAGTACAGGTTTTGCATATACTAATTTAGACATAATGTCTAGGGTACATAAAACATACAAAAGGTCTGGGCTGAGAGGTAGCAACAACAGCAGATTTTTCCACTCCGGCCTGTGGAGCATCTGCATTCTCAGGGTTGTACATGGTATTATCCAAGGCATCTCTGTTTCTGTTTAGAGGGATTTTGTCCTTTGGTCTGTACATTTTTATGAATTTGATATCAGATTAGGTATCACAGAATATCCCAAGTTGGAAGGGACCCATAAGGACCATCAAGTCCATGTCCCTGTTTCTTGCAGGACTACAATGAAACCATATGCCTAGGAGAGTCATTCAGGTGCTTTTTGAACTCTACCATGACCATTTCCCTGGGGAGCCTGTTTAGGGACCAACCACCCTCTCAGTGAAGAACCTTTCACTAATGGCCAATCTGAAGTTCCCGTGATGCAGGTTCATGCCATCTCCATGTATCTTCTAGAGGAACCGAATGCTTTGGCACCATTTGGTATGAAAAGATGTCCTCCATATGTAACACAAATGTGAAAATGAAGCCCTGATTATTAGTTCAATTTAAAATACCCACTTAGCAGCATTTTAGTGCTATGTATTGAAGCAATAGAAGATGATTACATGCCAAAAGGTACCATAGTTAAATTACAGGAGTTATTTTAAAGTTACTTTAAAATTTACCTTTATTCTTTTCCTGCAAATAATTTGTTTAAACATGGATAGCCTCTATGAATAAAGCTGTACTGATACTTCTTGGCACTGCAGATGTGGGAATGTGATATATTCATAAATGCCCATAAAATGTTGTGGACAAAGTTTAGTTGTCTTTACAGAGGGCTTTTCATGAGTATAGTGTGCAAATTTGAAGAGGTTTGCTGAGTGCATTCTAGGCATTTATTTTCATAATTCATATAACCACTTCCAGTGTTTAGTGTTCTGAATATCATTCATTATCTGGATATCTGAGATGCATTAGGTCCAGATTGCAGAAGGCATGTTTGTTATGCATGTTCCATCTGTTTAGCTGATGTAAAAATTAAAAGTATCTACCTCATGATACAAGTCACAGATCTTTAACAATACTATTAATGTTTCAAACCAACACAGAAGAGATCATGCATCTTGGTTAATGCATTATCCAGGCTGACTAACTTACAAAGTTGATTTTAAAATGAGAGGCTTCAATAAGTGGCTTTCTAGCGTATGCTCCTTGAGAGATATTGTCGTGAACAGAATACGAAGGAATCCCTGTAAAGTGGAGCTGAAATAAAATGCCACAATAACATCCTGTAGGTCTCCGGCCAAGGAAGAACAGGCTTTGAGAACTGTGATGAGCAAAGAGGAGAATGGGAAGCTGTGATGTTTACTTTTTGATGTGGAGTATCTATCTGCAGGTTTTCTGATGAGATACAAGCTGGCCAAGTACAGTGGTAAGGCAGTGTCATGCTCTTCTGAGCCCTGTTTAAGAAGGGAGCATCACAGGCATGTGGAGAAACTGGAGCCCTGTTTTTTCTTCCTGCTGTCTGAACTAGTGGACAGAACTTCTAATATCATGTGATGTACTGTACTGTATACTATATACTTGTGCCAAAAAAAGCCAAGAACATTTATTGAAGATAATTGTGTGTGACCTAGGTTTCAGCAGCAGTTTCACTTTCTTAACTGTATTGCATTGTTAGTTTGATGTCAAGCTGTAAATATCTACAGGTGTCTTGTGTATTAATACAAACAAGTGGATATACATTTTTTTCTAGAATCAAGTGTAAAGAAAAGCTTTGTATTTTCTTCTGTGATAAATGGAATTTATAAGCAGGTCTATGTAATAAAGCCCTCAAAGCAATAGCTATTTTCTGCACACCACACATAGTGGGCCATAAGGACAACAATCTCTACATAGTGCAGCTGTTACCCTGCAGTGCATTGCTGAGGTGATGTCCACACCTGAGCAAATCAGTGTTGCAGGGCTTAAGGAGGGGCCATGATTTTAAATGCTTCACCTCAGAGAATCAAAGCATTGCTTAGGTTGGAAAGGTCATCAAGTCCCACTGTTGACAGCACTGCTGAGCCCACCACTAAACCGCATCCCTAAGTGCTGCACAGCTTTTAAATAACCCCCAGGGACGGTGACTCAAACACTGCCCTGGGCAGCCTGTTCCAGTACTTGACAATCCTTCCAATGAATACATTTTTCCTAATACCCAGTCTAAACCTCCTCTGGTGCAACTTGAACCCGTTTCCTCTTGTCCTGTTGCTTGTTTCCTGGGAGAAGAGATCGACCCCCACCTCCATACAACCTCCTTTCGTGACAGCATTGACCTTATTCTTGCTCTCTGGAAAGCTTTTCTAACTCTGATAACTTATGTTTTGCATTTGAAATGCATTTATGCATTCTTTTTCTTCCTATCCAAAACTCCTTTTGCATGGTAACTAAGTGCTCTTAAGCAGAGTTGAGGGCAGGTGAGCAGCAAATAAAATGTGTTTAACACAATTTATAAAACATTTTTGAGTAACAGACACTGTGGAAGTATCAGAATGAAATGTTACTTAAGGTATATTGTTTTTTTTACTTTAGGCTGGGCAATGCAGGTTGCTGCCTTTGTTTTCATTCAGAGAAAGTGGGAAGATGACAAGAGTCACTTTGAAAAAATGCTGGATTATTTCTGTGACATTCGTGAACCACTGCAACTACTCATCTTTCCAGAAGGAACTGATCTCACAGGTAGGCTGTGTTTGTCATGTTCTCATGAAATGTTCAGCATGGAAATTCTTTGTTGCTTATGGAAAGAGTTTAAAAGAGTCCAAGGCAGGAGCAAGACTTGGTTCTCATGAACAGTAGAAATTGTAGTAAATGATCGAATGATGTGCTGATTCATTTGAGCGGCACAAATGTAGTTACACTGAGAGACTTTGCCAATATTCCTGAAATATTATTGCATTTCAAGGCATCTGATGATTGAAATGGCTTTTTATTGGTTAGTACTGTATATACATTGCATTAGCAAAAGTAGGTTTCAAGATCTGGAATAAATCACTTGCATGTTCCCATTTCCTGTATTACTGTAGCAAAATCATTCATACCTATGAAAGAGTGATTTAAAAGGACTAATGATCCTATTTGATTTCTTGCCTAATGTTTGAAGAGGAGAACATGGAGATACTTGTTCCTTAGGCCATGTCAGTCTGTGCCTGCCTCTATAAGAGAAATATCTCTGTAAAACAAATGTCGAGGTTGTCATGGAAGTAAATTTAATGACTCTGATCCTGTAGTATTATTTTTTAATCAAATATCTACCTCAATACAGGTGTTTCGTGGCATCAGTAGCAAGCTGTCAACCAGTGTTGAAGACAACTCAAATGCCAATAAAACAAAACGTTCTATGAATGTTCTGTGGTGATCCATGCCTGCAGCATGATTCGATAAGCATTATCTTTAAGTAGGAAATCAATTACAATTAAACTCCTAACTTTTAGCTTATTGAAAAGACTTTCCATTTCAGATATTCTCAAATCACATTTTTTTGCAGAGCCACATCAGTAAATACTAGGCTTGGTATAAAAATAATGAACATATACTGCTATTTTTTATTTCTGTATTCCCAATATCCTTGAAAATGGGTATGTATAGTATTCAGATGCTATCACACTGTAGGGAATTGTCAGCACTTGATCAGCCTTCCTAAAAGAGGATAAACTCATTGTACATTCTTGACTGCTTACCATGACATCTCTTGTTGAATAAGTTATTTTGTATCTAAAGTTAGGAAGAAGGATGGAATTTTCTTTGCTACAAGAGTAGTGAGGCACTGGAACAGGTCGCCCAGGGAAGCTGTGGATGCCCCACCCCTGGAAGGGTTCAAGGCCAGGCTGTATGGAGCCTTGAGCAACCTGGTCTAGGGGAAGGTGTCCCTGCCCATGCCAGGGAGGTTGGAACTAGATAATCTTTAAGGTCCCTTCCAACCCAAACCATTCTATGATTCTATGAAATTATCTCACTTTAACTTTTCTCCTTTGAATTCATGAAGAACTGTCTCCTCCTAGCTCTAAATTATGAGGTGCAATCTTCATGTCATTCATGGAGTCAGGAGACTCCTCCTTAGAGTGCTCCCACTCTTTCTGAACAGGTTGTTTCTGTCTCAAGATTACTGAAAGAATTGGATTTTTTGTAATTTATTCCATAAATCATGTATGCCTTCTAATTGCGCCCAGTGTTCCTTAGAGACAACAGATTTTTAAGGAACAGAAAGTTTTGTGCTGCAGCTTTAAAATGGAAGATTTAGCTGAATACTGAGACAGGCCCAGTGTGTTAACACTTATGCTGTAGAGTCCCAAAGCCAGTGGTGTCTCTCACCTGAATGTAGAGCTGCCAAAGGGAACACAGGGTTTTCTCTCTGCTGTAGGAACTGATATAAATGACTTAGACTAAATTTAGGTATATGCTGTTGATACCATCCACTGAGATTAATTTTTTTTTTTGTAAGCTATATCTGGTTTTCCTTCCACATACATGTGTAACATGTACTCTTTGATTTTGCAATGCCAAGTGGAGAGCTGCACTAACTGTGCTGTTCTGCAGAAGCCACTGCAGATGGATGGTTGAGTGGCCCAGAGAGGAAGCAATGCAGTGGGAAGGACAGAGTGATGGGTAGGGATGACAGCAGGGCACTGCCATGCTGGCTTCTGACATGTTAAACTCTCCTGCATTTAGCACTCTAACTTTCCATCAGTAATGAATGTCACCTTGATATTTTATTTGTGCATAAAAAGATATATAGGAACAGGCAAAACCCTGTGACTTTTTCTGTGGAAGTAAATAGCTCTCCCTATCTAATTTTCTTCACAGGAAGGATTACTTCACGTGTTTTAAAATATTATAGGAGACAGGGAACAATCCCTTGACAAGCTGATCCCAACCGAGCAATAAATTTATGCCATATGAAAATGCTAGAACATAATAATCAATTTTATGTAACATTTTGAAAAAATGATTTTCCGAAAACTGTTATGTTATTGACATATTAGGACCTATTGCAACCTCCTGTTCCATCCTTTGCAATAAGAAATAGACTGAGGTTTTGTTCTGAACAGTTGCTCAAAATTCTAGGGAACATTCTTCAAAAATAGAGGAAGTGACTTGTTTTCTGACCAAATTCCAAAACTCCTAATTACTTCAGAAAACAAAATTTTTCTGGTGCTAAAAATAACATTCTACATGTACTTCACTGAATAGCAGAATTGCTGTTCAGTTTTTATCTACTTTTTGTCCTCTCAGTCACCACATGACTATGATAGATTTACTTCTCTTTGTAAGAAATTGTATAATATTTGCAGGCATTCAAGAATGAAAGATTTCAAAGAAATGTAAAATATGACTGTATTTATACACAGGCCACTTCCTGACTTCAAATTGATTAAGTACTTTGCAGTGGAAGATCCTACGTAAATAAATTTTAGGAATAGTAATGTCATGAACCCTGAACATTGTATTTCCAGGTTGGATGTATAGGGTCTGAGGTAATAATTGTATAATTATATACTTATTTCTGATAGGTTGGCCATCTTTTCACTCTGGAGTACTTCAAGGTTAAAGCTAAGTGCATCAAAGGTATTTTATTGTAATTGCTTAAAAAGAGGCCCACAGCAGATAAACCTAGCCAGACTTTCTGAAGCCCTGAAGAAAACAAAGCAACCATAAGTCTCATGCTTCTGGAAAGCTGGAGTACAACCTACCATATTGCCTGTTCTTTTGTTTTTCTTGGTGTTCCTTACAAGGTTGTTTGTAGTAATTCTTCAGAAAGCAATAGCAGAAAAAACCAACCCAAAACATGGTGTATTGCTCTGTGCCTGATAAAGCCTCATTTCCTATGGATTTGCGTCTGCATCCCTGTACATGGTCTTTTCTTCAATGCAACTTCTCCTTTTTCGGTGTGTTTCCTTCTGTGTGACATTTCCTCCACAAAGCTCTTGCCAGTGTCTTGGCAAGAGGCATCATGTGCTGTGGCTCATGCTCACCAGTATTTGTGTTACCCGATGGACTGTTGCATGCTGTGCTGAAAGCCCTGGCAGACTAAATACTTGTGGAGCCTGCACTGGCTTTTCCTGTTAATAAAATTTCTCCGAAGCTTCCCTTTACCCAGCCACTGTTTTTTCTAAAACTTCTGCTGGGCTTAATTATCTTTGAATCTCTTGTCCCTGATAAACTTTGTTTGCAGGTGGCAATAGCTTCAAAAGTTAAGGGGAGCAAACTGGTGGACAGAGTGTGATTGCACAGACCTTTTTTCCTTGAGTAACAACTGAAAAACAAGTAGGAAAGTGTTCTAGAGCTCAGATTTTGGCAGGAATGTTGTGATGTGGATGACAGAAGGTAACAATGAACTTCAGTTGGAATTTTAACTATTCTAAAATGTGATGGACTTTGGTAGTACAAAAAATATTGTTCAAAAGCACTGATGCGGGTTGATCTAACATGTAATAGTTTGAAAGTAGCACAAATAATAATAATTGCTTATTGTTTTTCCTAAAATATTAACTGTGAGCCAATGTAGCTTTTATCATTTCTATGCAAACATCTAACAGATTAATGTGGATTTATTTATTTATTTATTTAGTAACAGAGGCTGTCGGAGTACTCATTTATTCTTTCACTGTCTGGCACTAATATAATTTAAGAGTACTTGAAGTCATATGTGCATGTTTATATCACAAGTGAGATTAAAGGAAAAGGTAATACTTAAATTTCAGTGCACTATTACTAGCAAGAAAATAAAAAAGTAGCAGTTGAGAGTTTTCAGAAATACTTGTATTAAAGTTGTCAGAAGCAGCTTTTCAGTAGGAGGATGAGGGAAGTTTGTAGTTCTTTTGGGTAAGGCCCAGCAAAACACATCAACCTGGACAGTGTTGTATCTGTAAAAATATGTGAGCATGTTTGTTTGAAAGGAGCTAATACCACATATATATTTCATGGGGAGTACAGACTTACCTTTTAGTCGGGTGTAGATCTTGGAGTTCTAGTTCCAAATACTCTTCAAACTCAGACAAATGCAGCTGTTACTGCATTATGGCTTTCATCAAAGTCCTAGAGATTTTTGTTTTAATTCAAAATTAGCTCACAAACTAAAAATATAATTTGGCTTAAAAAAAATTACATTTGTTCACTTTATCCTCTGGTTTTCGGGAGCAAAAGCAATTTAACTTCTTAGAAATCTGTTACTCAAAAATCAAGAAAATGTGTTAGCATCATTTCTTCCTCTAGTTACTTTAAATGAAATTCTGAACTGTGCTGCTTCTTGAAAGTGCTGACTTTCTGAGCAGTAATTTCTTAATGTGAGAAGTGGGATATGCCCACATGATTTGGAGATAAATGGGAAAAAATATAATCAAATTACTTACCAAAAGCATCATAGGAGCAAAAAAAAGAAAGAGGTTTTGGCCAGAACTCTTAAATTTTTGCACTTTTGTGTAGTTTGATAGTTGCTCTGAGGAAATGTCTAAAGACTCACATAAATTGGACTACTTGTACTTGTCACCACCGCAAAGAACATATGCTCTGGGAGGTGACATGTATTAGCTGCAGGTGATGAGGGAGGAGAGGCAAGTGAGTGTGAGACCTGAGGAGACAGAGCATGAAGCAGTTCTGGCAATGTCCCACATCACCCTCTATTGATAAACTGACTGGTCTCCACAAAAATAACTGATACTTCTTTTTTTATCAGGACCTAGAACCAAGGAGTTAAAATGCAAACCACTCCTAATAGGAATGATGAGCAAAACCTCTGGGAGTGAATTTGCTTTGACTTAAATACAGTCTAGAGAAAGAAAATGCTTGTTTCTAGAAAGCAACACATTTTTCAGAGAGGGTCAGCAATAGAGGGCATTACCTGTAGCCAAATAATAGGACTGATCTTTTGGGATTGAGAAGACCCAAACCAAGTTCATTTCCAGGTCCTGCTTCAAGAGCTGCTTGATGGTATTTGTGTTAGTTGCTTGGAAGAAAAGAACATACTTTCCCTTTTGTTAAGAAAGTTTTGTTTTTAGGCATCTTTCACCTAAGAATGTTGTCAACTGACCTGAAGAGCAATTAGGCATCTGCATAAGGTTTGCAGCACTGACAGTGTAGCCTGGTCTATTGAGTAAGGGATTTTAAAGAGGTGTTTGTTGTGCAAATTCCCTCAAGTTGCAGAGGATATAGAAATGGGTTTCTGATTTCCTGGATCAGTTTTCTAACCTCTAGGTTTTCTGTAATGAGGAGCATCACATGTTCTGCCTTTCGTTGAATCCAGTTCTGAGCAGCAGACTTGCTCTCAATTTCCCTCCAAAGATTTAGGCAATGGTGTCACACAAGGACCCCAAACAGTAGTGGGCACAAAGGTGCTTACATTGGATGGGATGCATTTGTTCATAAGTAATACAAGTGTAAGAAACTCTTAATTTTCAAATGCTGAGACTAACGGGTGGGGGAAGAAGGGCATAATTCTTAAGGTTTTTTTGTAGAGTGAAGGCATAGTCTACCCTTGCTTTCAGTATAGCATCAAAACCTGTTGACCTTCCTGACTTGCTGTCATAAATAATGTTTAATGCACAAAGACCTGTGGCTTGATAGTTGTTAGGAAGGGAAAAGGGAGATGATTTTTCCAGATGACAATGATCGTTGTATTAGCTGGGAGCGTTATTCTAGTTCTAAAATCCCATTACACTGGGGTCATGCAAAAGGGGAAGGGAACAATCTCTGTTACATAAAACTTACAGTCCAGAGGCAAGACAGGGATACAAATGTCAGGAAATAGCTGAATAGTGTTGGCCGGTGTGCCGATGTCCAGCTGTTCACACGCTTTGAAACAGACAGTGTAGTAAAGGGAAATTTGGAAGACGTTTTGCAGATGTTTACAGTGAGTTCTTTCCAAGTACAGGGAGGTGCACTAAGAGGAGGTTTGAAGATGATTACTTCAAGGCAATGAGCACTGGAGGTCCCAAATCATTTTGCAGCATTGATTAGGTCTTACTCAGAGAATGAAGGTGCCCATTCACTCTTTTTGCTGTGGTGCAAATAGGATGTTTTGCAAACATCAAGGAGTTCATTTTCATGCTCCCTCTGAAGCACAGTGCTAGTGAGCAGACATACAGAGATAGTTTTCCTGAGTGCTCATTAACTGTGTGTAGTTCGGGATGTTTGAGGCTTAGATCTTACTATCTTTTAGACTGCTTAGCATTATGTAGATTTATATGGCACTTGTGTCTCGAAGTTCTGACTGACTTGATTTGCAGACTGCAAATTTTCCGAAATGAAACCCAAACTTGTATATGCAAAAATGAAGGAGATGATACTTCTGTCCTTTGGAAACAACAATACATTAGCTTAAGTACTTTGTGATAAATTAATTTAAAACATTTTACTAGGATCACCACAGAATTTGGAAGAAGCCTCTTGACTTGGGTACGTTTGATAGGAACACTCTTGGTCATCAGTGTCATTTCTTAGAAAATAAAGGGTTTTCATTCTTGAGCTAATCAAGTATACCTAAGAGGTACAACCTGGCTTTTCAGAGAAGCATTTAATAATTATGAGATTACTGTTGCCTCTTCTGCCATTCCAGATCTTGCTCATGACTCACTTTGCAAGTTTTGCCTTGCAGAGGGAGTCTGAAAGGCAAGTGCCCTTCACTGATTCAGAATAGTCCATTTACAGTATTGAGCGGAGCAGTAGTTGAGCAGACAAAAACAGATCCTCTGACCATGTGGTTGAAGACATAATGTATGTGTCCAAAGGAAGATAAATGTAAGTTACATAGCCAAGTGTAATTTTAGTATGTCACACATTCTGTAATTTTAGCAGTGCTTTTTGAAGTGGTACTATTTTTCAAGTATTTGTACATTTTGGCAATTTGGCAAGAATTAAATCTTTGGATTCTCTTTGCTGATTCACTTGCTTGGCTACTGTGCAACAGCTTTCCTTTCCTCCAAATCACATGGTCAGGAAATCTGCAGTGAATCTTAAGGGTTGCATGTATGAAAAGCAGCACTCTTACTCATGGAAACAGTAGGTCACATGGAAAAAATATTCGATAGACTGATACGCTGTAGCACTTTTTAATCAGTAGATAAACTGACATTTTTGATAAAAGAAGACATGTAATTTAGGGAAAAAAGAAAGATGCAGGACAGTTGCATTACAGAGAAAAGGAAATATCTTGCTACTGTTGATTTGTTCACTTGTGCTATTGTGCATTTACATCAAGAAAATTGAGGTTTGTAAAGGGAAAGTTTTATCTCTAAGTATCACTTCTCTTAAATCATTAAACAACAATATGTTTTCCATTACTTTGTCTCCCATCTCTGTTAAGGCTAACTGTGGACACTTTTAAAAGATCTTTTTCTGCTTGAAAAACATGATATATTGCTTAAGCAATGGTTTTGTTCCATACATCTGTTGCTGGGATTCTGTCTTTTAAAGCATTTGTAAAACTTCATAACTATGAGTTATTAAATAAGGTAGTTGATCAAATTGATTTTTACCCTGTTGCCAAGGGAACATTGCATGTGTCCATTGCCTTTAGGCCCCAGGGGAGGCACAGCAGTACCCACAGCAAAGAAGTAAGTGTAGCCAGAAAGGTCTTTTTGGCTGCTGATTGATGCTGCTTGGAAGAGCCTCCTGCACATCACTGAAGAGCAAATTGCTCCCTCTCTGCCTGTCTGCAGAAGTTTTTGCTTTAGTGTCCTCATCTTCCTTACTTAGAGGGCTCTGTTAGGAACCAACTCTGGAAAGTCTTCAATTTTCTCGCTTGAGGTTTCTTCTTGCCGGAGGTTTGAAACATGTTTGTCACGGAGTTTGGCCATGCTGCTTTCTAGATGCCGTGTGTGTGCTCTGCATACACTAGCAGACACTGAGGCACTTGGTCAAAAAATCAAACCAGGCTATGTATGTGCAGCGCAGGTTGATGAATAAAACATAGCAAGTTCAGAATGATGATGTAAAATACCATTTTAATGTATTAGATTAACTGCTTTCCTCCATTTAATGTTTTCTTCCTGAAATAAGTTTAATGTGGTTAAACATTGACCTCAAGGTATTTCTGTACATAATATCAAATGTACATTACTCTACATTGTGCTTTTTGAGTTAAAAAAAAAAAAGCACTAAAACAATTTAGCTGATTAACACGTTTTACTGTAAAATGGGTATTGAAGTGTACAGAGGCTTATTAACAGACTTTAATTTATAGATTTCAGATTGCGCTTGATAAACATGAAAGATTTGCTGATTATATTTCCGAATTAAATGAGAGGGTAAAAAGGCTTTTCTTGCAATCCACATGGCTCTTCCTCATACCATAGTATGGCCAACTGAAAGCACACTGGCTGTCTGCCTCCACCCGAAAAGCTGTTGCACATTCGTACTGTGTGAACTGCTGTTGTGCTGTTCCTTTTGTATAATCATTATATTTGATTCATGGTCTACATGCACACTAACAGAAAATTCTGCTCTTTATTCTCTCTTCAGCCAATACCAAAGCCCGCAGCAATGAATTTGCTGAGAAGAACAGACTTCAAAAATATGAGTATGTCTTGCATCCGCGAACGACTGGATTCACTTTTGTGGTTGAGCGTCTAAGGGAAGGTAATCCTGCTCTGTTCTTTGTTTCATTTAAGGTAACAAATCTCACCCAAGGTGTTGAAGCTGATGTTCGCAAAACTGCTTGAAGGAAATTTCAGAACTGATCACAAAGAGAGTCCTCATTTGCAGCCTTACTTAAAATGATTGTAACATGGAGACATTTGAGAGAGTTGATACCAGGCACTAATATCATCAGGAGGTATTCAGTGAATGAAAGCAACTTTTTTTTTTTTTTAATATTGTAGCTTGTTTAGCACTCTTACCTCAGAAAACTAGTGGAAAAGATGCCAGAGAAGTTCAGCCTTATTGCTTGTACCATTCTCAACCCCAAGTGGGTGGTTGACACTAAACACACAGGGCATGTATGTCACTGTCCACTCTGAAAAAACTTCTGGTTTTAAGTCCAAGAGCTGAAAAACACATTGCTATGTTAAAGAGACAAGGGGAAGGCAGAGCAGCATGTAAATATAGCAAGTTGTCTGCCCAGTGCTGCCAGCTTTTTTGGGTGCTGGTGACTTGGAGAAGTTGTGTACAACAGAAGTTGTACTGCTTGGCAGGTTGGTAAGAGAACGTGTTCCTTGCTTTTTGCCTAGAAGTGGTCTTCCATCCCTGCATTATTCTGAGGGTTGAGGTTGAGTCCCTGTTATCAGGAGAACAGAGTAGAAAGATGTGATTGCTTGTTAGATTGAGATGTCTGTGGGTTATTTTGGGAATGGGCATTTCGATGAGGTTTGAGGCCATAAGGATGTAACATCTAAATGGTACTCATATGGCAGTGATTCAAGGACAGATGAGTGAGTATTTGCAGGATATATGAATGGTTGAAGAAAATAAATGTGTACAGGAGATATGAAGTGACTTTTTTATAGGCTAGTTCTTCAGGGAAAAATGATTCTGGATTTTTAACACATGCTCGTTATTCTGACTGCCAAAGGAAGAGGTTTGAGATTATTAGGGCCTTAAAGAATAGGGCCCTGCTGGTATTGGTTTTTCTTTGCTGGAATCCTTGCTTGAATTTTAGAAACAAAGCTGATCTGCATTTACCTGCTTCCTATTAGGCAGATAACCTAAAATCACTGTAAACACTTTGGTATTTTATTCCGGTGGACAATCCTGGCTGTACCATGTATTTATTTGACCCTATTTGTATTGGACAGTCAGTACTGGACATCTTAGATGTTCATCTGTCTTGGATGCTTATTCCTTAATTTGCTGGAATAAAAAGATTTGCCACATACACAATTTCAGAAGCTTGTTTTACTCAAAGCTTCACAGCACTAAGTTAACCTAGTGCATAAAAATATTCTGAGTCTGGAATAAATTTTCAATTAAAGAAATGTTTTAGCTCGAAATATTAACGACTTTAAAAAAAAGATTCTGTATTTGCTGCAGAAATAAGCTTTGTGGTTATACAGTCATTTTCTAATTTTATAAAAATGGATTTCTTTTCCATTGCTCTATGAGAGATCTATGCAAATTAGGCTATTGGGTTATAAAAAGGAAAATATTTGAGGCTGATTAACTGATTTCATGCAGTACAAAGCTGGGGAAAAACCAAAAAACATTCCTAGATAATTTTCTTTGTCCAGCCTTTCAAGTGGATTGAAGTTCTCTTTTCACTTAAGGCAGGCAAATATTAATGTCCCTTTAGCACTGAATTTACTAGGTATTGAGTACCTTGATAGACATTATAAGCTATATATATTGTGACTGTATACTGCTATGTATTAAATTGTGTGAGAAATGTATGAGAAGGCACTTCAGGTAGCATTATAAAGTACTTTGTTATTACTTACGAATTTAAGAATTGGTTTTCAATAGTTTTCAACTGTGCCAAATGCAAACCATTGTTGTTGAAAAGTTTTATTCTTATGTACAACCTAACAGTAGTTGCTGGACTTTACAATATTAGGTATTATATGAATATTTTATACCTAGATCGATCTATCTGTATCTTTTCATCAGTACAATATAGATGTCCAGGTAGATATTCAGATGCAGATGGTTCACTTGGTACCTGACTTTATTGTTCAGCTCTGATTTGACTTAATACTTATACTATTAGAATGCCTTTTATACAATTCTAATTACTGACACTAGCAGCAATAAAGAAAACCAGGATCGTCAAGAATACAGTGTTAACCTGAGTCTCTGTTTCTGAACTGTCTTAATGCTGCAACTGTAGTGATAATTGTAAAAATAGACTTATGTCCTTTTTTACCTGCTCATAACGGCAAGCACAGAGCAGAGTGGTTGACTTTAATGTGCAGGAGGGAGTGGTGGAGATTTTAACATCGTGTTTACGTCTTTGAAAGTATTTTTGTGCATAGATGACAGCCTTATTGCCCTATAGCTCTCTTATGAACACTTTTTGGCTCGTGGCTGTTTTCCATTCCTGAGGCTCAAGTGTCTTTCCTTCAGGCCTGAGTACATTATTTTGCTCCACAAATGGGTTGATGAAAAGAGGGGAAAAATGTTGTTAGAAGTTTAACTGTTTTTCAAATGTTGAATTTAATTTGGCAAGAACCCTGGTTAATATGCATCATAAGCTGTAGCATGAAAGAATTACCTGTTATATAATAAAAATAAATATTAGTGACCCTTCTGAATAGGAAATGAAGATCAGGCAGAAATAACCCTCAGTAAAATGTTGCCTGTGTCTCTGCAAAGGAGTTTCTTCCTAGAGGAAGTACTGTCTGTACCCTGACAACATAATCTGAGCAGTTATTGATCCTTTGCTTTCCACAGGTGGCACAAATTTCTGAACCATATGTATGGACTTTTGCCATTAATGACCAACACTCAAAGTCCTCTGGCTGCTTTCTCACTCTAGTATTGTCATTATTTCAACTATTTGATTTCTTTTGCCCATAGATGCTGCTGTAATGGTTTCTAAGTCACTGCTGAGATTATGGGAGCTAAGAAAATAAGATTTATATAACCTTCACCAAAAAAAGCTGTAAAAATTGTTTAGGCAATACATCTCCTTGGCTTTTGAGTCTTATGGTTTTTTTCCACATTCTAGCTCTTCATGAGTGGTAGCTCTTTCTCCCTGAGCTGACTCTTCTAAACAGATACCCAAGGAAAAGCAAACTGTTTTTTCCTTTCATTATGCTCAGGTGCTAAAACAGTGAGATATTATTTTACTTGTAAATGAACACATTGCTGTTTTCTCATTCATAGAAACCATAGAATTACCCAAGAGTAAACACAGACTATGAACATGCTTTAGATGTATAATTAATAATATACTCAGGAGAATATAGACTGCAGTTCTGGCTGTGTTTTAAGAAAGAGATACCTGGTTGATTGGCTATTAATGGACAGCTAAAAGAAATTAAATAGATGGTTCAGTCTTCCTAATTCAATTCACTTGATCAAGTATATAATTTGTCTTGCCTGAGCTGTTTGTAATCTTGATTTCAATCAGCACCTGGTGAAAATTTATTAGATATTTATGATGTATTTCTTTGGGAAACAAAGTGGGCAGTTTTGGAGAGACAGAGTCAGAACATGTGAGTGAGTAAGAGAAAATGAACTCTAGGCACCAAAATGTGGTTTGGTCAAAACTTTCTTTAGCTCATCATCATATATCTCTCTAACCACCTCCTAAAATCATATTTAATCCATTTTTTAAGCCTAAAACTTTGAATAGATGTTATAGATGGAGTCACTCCGCAGAACTTGGGTTAAGGTAACTCATCTCTTTTTACAAAATGTGGGGCTTTGAAAAGGACTGAAATGTGCAGGAATTTAAATGAGATTTTTATATAAGCTTGCCTTTAACAATGTTAATTGAAAACATTTGTGGTTTATATAATGCTCTTGAAGATCCAGTTTGTGAGGTCCTTCTGTAAAAGGTCAGGAGGTTCCTCAGAAATGAGGTATAGGTTTTCAGGCCTGGTTGTATTTTGTAAAGTTTTTTTCTGAAGTGCCAAATGACATTGAAAGTTCAGATGGCTTTAATGTTCACTTTCAAAGAGATGGAAAATAATACTGGTTGATTTGATTCAATATTGTCTGGATTCATTGAATTACATATATTATCTTGGCATAGTATCTGTAATTGTAGCCAAATAGTCTGTCAAGAGAAAATGACTGTTTACAAATGTTTTGTTAAAATTGCTTCATGGCTTTTAAGTATTTTCTCAGGACTAAATAAACAGTAAGTGTTAAGACAGAGCTAAAGCTTTAAAGCATCATTAGAAGATTATTCATGCTGTTGCAGACAATCATTTCTGCCAGCATTAAATTTAAACTGACCTCTTTTTGACACTTCCTCTATAGCCATCAACAATCTTTAATATCTGGATACATTGCACTGGATGTTCCTATTATGGGGTTTATATTATACTGGTTTTACAATATGATGAGTCAGAATTACTTGCCTTATTATTGTATTTCAGCTTTGAATTTATTTCTGATTTATAATTAGCCAGCTGAAAAAAGTATTGCAGATAACAGCTGCCAACTGCAGCATCCTAAAATAAACAAAGATACAAATTTAACATGCCTTCAGTGCACGTCCTTACTGATGGAAAGAAACTGTGATTTTCACCCTTTTTCCATGGTTGATTCAGAATTGATCGTTTTGCCCCCAAATGAATGTTTATACACACACAATCAGAAACTAGTCTATATCTTCTATTGTTTATACCTGAGTTTTGCAGTTGCACAGTGTTTCAGTAATTACGTGCAGGTATTTCAACCTGTTTGTTTGCTAGGGCAGGAAAAAATGGTATTTAGGTGTTCAGTCCAGGGTATCTATATATAAAACTATGTAAGTGTTTTAATCCTGTGGTGCTCAAGGGTTATTATGTAGATTCTGTTTGCTTTTCTGGGAGTTAGAGTATCCACATATGTGTATTTATGTGCTTAACTTTTCATGCCATTTATTTGGGTCATGGTATAATGTGCTTATATGACACTTTCAAGCTAATAATCTAGGGAGACAGTTTGTGATTCACACATTAATATATAAGACAGTTAACATGAGATGATGA